GCAACAATCATACCATTCGAGATAGGGGCACGGTTCTTTAGCCCCAGGCCTGTCGGAACAGCCAGGTTTTAAGGGCTTTTTAAGGGCTTCTAGCTGCCTCCTGCTGGGCGACTGTGTTGTGCTTGGCACAGGACTGTCCTTGAACACCTTCCAGAGGGTGGCTGGAAGAAAGTGAGCAGCCTGGGCAGAGGTGGGGTTTCCCGTTATTTTAAATTGCTTCTGAAGGTCTCTTAGATGCTGGTTGACCTCAAAGTGGGATTTGAGGCACTAAGACGCTTTTTGGCTCTGGATTATCTTTGGTAGCATCTTACTTATCTGTCTGCCCAATCAAACCAAATAGGTTAACTTTGTCCAGATCCCATTTCCTGTGAATGTTATCTGATGAGACCCAGGAAATGGGCATTTTTTTATTGTTGCCCTTCAGCTTGGAATCTCCCTCTCCCTGTGGATACCTGGCCTACTTCATCTCTCCTGGGTTTCCGAAAGGTAGATCTTTCACCTAACCAGGAGGGAGGCATATGTGTTGAACGACTGGATTTAGTGGCAGAAGCAGCCTTCCTAACCATAGAGATGTCAAGATGTTAAATGTATTGTGATGCCATAACGCTAGATCCATTCGCAGTGCGGCTTCACACAAAAGTTCAAAGAGGTGGAGTTTGCACCACGACATATGCTTCCTCATGTCGCCCCCTTCCTGGAGTCCTGGAGGGCACCTCTGCCAAGGACCAAGGGGCTACATCTCAGCAGCTCCTGTCCCTCAAACACATGAAAAACAGCTTTTCCTGTTCCTTAATAGTTTACAAGAAAAATAAACAAAAGAGCACAAGTAACGAACTAACAAAAAGGTAGAATTAAATTAACTAAACCAAATTTAGTCAGACTAAATGCCCTCCAGAAGAGAGCCGAGGTGGAGGCCACCCAAGGACCACTGAGACCAGCCATCCCCACAGTAAAGCAGGGCAGCTGAGCCTCAGCTTCTCATCTGCCTGAGGGGGCACGGCCGGCCTCCCATTTCCTTAGCACTAATTATGACCTTTAAAGCGCTCCATGGCTTAGGCCCAGGGTACCTGAGAGACCACTTACTGCCACCGGTAGCCTCCCACCGTCCAGAGCGATCCCACAGAGTTGGCCTCCTCAGGGTGCCCTCGGCCAGACAGTGTCGCCTAGCGACCCCCAGGAGGAAAGCCTTCTCTGTGGGAGCCCCTTCCCTCTGGAATGAGCTGCCCCCGGAGCTTCGTATAATTCCCCGACCTCCGGTCCTTCCGAC